CAATTTTATAAAAAACCACTGTTATAATAAAAAATGAAACTAAACAAAGAATTTTAAAAAAAATTTATAAAAAAAATATATTTATGTAAATCAATTTTTTAATAAATAATGCAAATTATAAAAAAATATACTTAATAAAAAATTAAAATTATATTTTAAATAATTGATTTTTATAAATACATTTTTTTATCACATATAAATCTTTTTATTTAATACATATTTTTTATAAAAATAGAATATATTTATTTATCTTTAACCTTCAATTTACCTTATAAAAAATAAAATGAAGAAAAAATCAATACTCCAACACCTAACTACTAATTAAAGATGCCTCACAGGTTACTCACAGGGAATTATCTCGAGAGTTACCGTCTTATTGTCTTTTCCCCCCTGTTCCATAGGATTATTCGAAAAAATCAATGTGTTAAATACTTACAATCACCAAATTTCGGATGAGAACCACACGTACCACTCGGATTGACGCCACTACGCACTTCAACGACATTGTGTGCGTTAGCCAAGCTACAAATAAAATTTGCGCGTTTGGACGACATCACGAMGGATGACAAACAACAAGATTAATTTAGAGAACAGTGACGATGGCAGCCAAAACTCTTACAGAGTTGTGAAGGCACAGAAGAAGAAGAAGAATTACAAAATAATTTTGTCATGTTAGAGAATGGAGTGGGTAATAGTGATGATGGTTATGTGGTCGTATAACAATGGGATCGATGGTGGGGGACGTTTAAAAATAGTAATCCGTCCGTCCGATACAGCGTGGCTGGTATTTTTGAACGCTAGAAGTTATTAATAGTAWTCCTGATAGTGTCAAACTCATCAGTGGCACGCAGAACAGGATCACAGGCTCAGTTAAGGTGGAGTTATGGGTTGATTTTATATATACTTGACGGTTTAAATGTATATTCTTCGATTGGATGTACCGGGGTGAGTCTATATATCGACGCCCCCTACGATCTGTGAAAGTTTCAGGACGATCGGTCCAAGGGTTGATGTTACAGAATTTTTGGAATTATTTAAAACACGATTATAGGTAATATAGCGTATTACTGTACGTGGATCGATGTATAATACGATATAATGGTGTGAACGGGTTCAAACCTCGGTAACACAGAGTCTACAGGGTCCTTCACGGGGTCGCAATAGCTAGGGATGATCGGGGGATGGTCGTATTGACTGATTTGACGTTTATATGGACCTGCTGCGGTAATCGTCTCCTCATCGCTCACCAGTTCAAATGTTACCCCTAAAAACTTATTCACAGTATAGCACACTACTTACACTTTACAGGGACGTATTTTTTATAGCTGTAGGGGTTATGGTTATTTTTTAATAATTTTTAAAAGTAATGGTTTAGCGTACGGTTGCCGCATGATGCAAGCTATTCGGACTCGCTGCGGTAATCGTCTCCTCATCGCTCACCAGTTCAAATGTTATCCCTAAAAACTTATTCACAGGATAGCAGACTACCTACCCTTTCCAGGGACGTATTTTTTATAGCTGTAGGGGTTATGGTTATTTTTTAATAATTTTTAAAAGTTTTAGTTCAGCAAACAGTTGCCGCATGATGCCAGTTATTCGGACTCGCTGCGGTAATCGTCTCCTCATCGCTCATCAGTTCAAATGTTATCCCTAAAAACTTATTCACA